CCCGCATCTGCTTGTCACATATGTCCAAGAAAACCAACTAACATGATAAGCTCTGCTTGTTTTCCAAACAACATAAATCCGAAGCAACACAGAAAAAAATACAGAGAAATTGTAATTAATTGAAATCTAAAATGTTCCACATTTTGCTTATATTTATAAAACGATTTGTCACTCCGGCTGAGATCCGCAGTTTCATTCAATTGGAAGCTATTTGCTCAGCCTTAAGAACCACATTATCCGTTTGTTTTTATTCAAAAGAACACAACTTGAAAGCTAGACGCATTTTCAATAAAGATACCAACGGCAATAGACACTCAACTCGGTATCGTCTGGGCATACCCGGAGTGCAAATAGAGCTGGGGTATACTCAGCGTGGAAAAGAGTTGAAGCAGGACATCCATATATAGCGTATTGGGATATGGGAGAAGTCAATCGATATCACTCTGCGGGGCATTGCAATGGAATGTATTCCACTTCAGCCTCTCGGGCTGCATATATTAACATCGAAAATCAGCTTCGGTCGGGGTATATTAGAGTCAATCACTGGCCCATCTTATTTGGCAATAACTCTGCGGGCGTTACGCCCCCTTGAAGGCGAGAGTGATATAAATTTCAGCGTCTTTGCCAGGAGTCGGCGTGAAGCGCGGTCCTTGGCTTTGCTCTGTGTGCTGCAGAATCAAGGACGCAGCACGAAGGATGAAGGACGAGCGACTCAGTCTGCGAGTGCCGGCTGTAATCCTTTAGGCAGAGCCGCAGCACGTACTCCGGGCTTGAGCACAAATTTATGCCTGTCTACGCCCACACACACATAGACAGCAGCAGCTGCTGAGAGTGGGGGAAGGACTCTCCTGTGGAGGCGAAGGTCTCTCCCGGCTTGTTTGCATTTGATTTCGCGATGCCAACGACACTTGGGCACAAATTTAGCACCTTTGATAAAGTTAAAGGTTTGTTTGTCAGCCTCCCCCTCTCCCACTCTCTGTGATTTAAGGCACTCAGCGGCACAGAAGACGACTTGTTGGAATTGAATTTCCTGCGCTGCCCGCCCGCTCGATTGCCGCATTGTTTTCGCAGATTTGCGGCACGATGATGAGCGGGTTAAACAATCAAGTGAAATTGTTTCGCCATACCTGGAGGCGTGACAGCCACAAGTATTAATTGCTTCAATTTAAAATCAGCCAAAAGTTGAATTAATCTGCAAATGAACTCGCAGAGTTTCCCAACTGTGTTTCCGAACTCTTGATAGGCAATTAACTGTGCCCAGGCCCAGCCGCAGTGCGTCAATCACTCTCGTGCGCCATTTCCCAGCCTCGCCCCAAGAGCAGGCAATGTCCTCTCATGCCCACATTAATCATACGCAGCGTTGATCGATTACAGTGCGGCCTCTCTGCATGCAACTAATTGGTATCGGGAAGTGCACTTAGCACACGTCGCATCGATTCGAATCGAATCGAATCAACTCCTCAACAGCGCTACAAGCAGACGCACATTAATTACACAAATACGTGCAGCTAACTGCCTCAGGCAGATTGTATGACATCAATTCATTAGGCTGCTTGAGTTGCGATAAGCCTAAGCCAATGAATACTGCGAACAGGTGAGCTGTAATTTGAAGGGCTTTGTAATCCTTACCATGAAGCAATTGAAACTGCGATTACAGGGTATATTTGCTTTCTTGAAATGTATGCAACAGGCTGAAAAAGACGTGACATACCCTATGAAGGGTATATAATATATACTATATAACATATATACTATATATGTTCCTGATCTAGACAAAGTCAGCCATGTCTGTTTGTCGCTCTCTTTGTTCGTCTTTCTGTCTTTCGTCCGTTTCTCCGTCCTTCATTTGTGCTTTCGTCTGTAGCGTTTGTCTATTCATCCGTCCGTTTCTCCTTAGCTCTTCTGTCCCACGCTTGTACCTCCATTTTTCCGTCTATCAGTCTGTCCCTTTTTCCGTTCTTCGTCTGTCTGTCTGTCGTTCGTAGGCTCCTCCATCAAACTGTCCCTTCGTCCAGCCTTCATGCAATCTTCATCCGTCTGTTTGTCGTTCTGCTGTCGTCCGTCCTCTCGTCCATTCGTTCACATGTTTTCCTTTGCCTATCCGTTTATACTTCTATGGATTGTCCGTCTATCTATCTATTCATCTTCCCATTCCATTTATCCTTTCTTCGTTTGTTCTTTGTATGCTTCGCCTTTCTCTGTCCGTTTTCTCAGTCTTCATTCCATCTTCGTCCGCCCATTTGTCGTCCTCTCTGTCATCCTTTTGTCCATCCGCATGTTCGATTGTCCGTCTATTCATTTGTTCCTCTATCCATTCCATTTGTTTATTCTTCGTTCGTTCTTTTTCTGTCTGTTTTTTATACATTTTTGTCCGTCTATCTGATTGTCCGTTCTTCCTTCATATGTCTATCGTCCGTACGTTCATCTACCTATCTATCCGAGTGTCCATTTGTCCGTTCTTCGTTCCTTCTTCCTCTTTCCCTCTGTTGTGCATAGGTTCGTTTCTCCAACTGTACGTTTGTCCAGCGTTTTCTTCCCTTTCTATCCTCTCATCTATCCATTTAAATCATATAACATTTACATACTCAATTCAATATTTAAACACTCTCTAGCAGCTTAGACTTTATCTTTCGTACGACAGAGCTGAGCATGAAACAAATTAAAAAGCTTAAATGATTGAGCCGCAACAATAACACACACACACACACACACACATATATTGACAGCTGGAGTGACAAAATTGCAGCCACAGGACAACATTAAAGAAATAAAACTTTTTATGGTTTGTTGACAGCTCAAGCGACGCATTCATAAAATTCAACAAACGCCTGCCAATCGGCCAGCAGCTAGAGAAAGAGAGAGAGAGAGAGAGAGAGAGAGGGAGAGAGAGAGCTATACTCTCTGTCTCGTCTCGTCCATCATCTAAATGGAAATCAGGCATAATCACCAAATGGAGAGGCAAATATGACAGCAATTTTTCCATCTGCCCTGCAAAGTGTCGCATGAAACAATGAAACTTGGACCTGGACCCGGGCTGGACCCAAATCCAGCCTAGGGCCAAGCGACGCTCTAAATTTATGCCATAAAATGGCAAAACAGCGTGAGAGTGTGTGTGTGGGTGTGTGTGTGTGTGTCTGTGGATGCCCGATAACAATATTCTTCTTTTTTTTTCCCCTTCTTTATGTTTGGTTTTTATGTGGCGCCCCCGAGTAATTTTAGGAAATTATTGCCTAGGCCGCCGAATTCGTGAATGCAAGCACATGAGAATCGAGTAGAGAATCGAGATATATATATATATATATATATATATATATATATATATATATATATATATAT